GTTTTTGCCTGCCTCCATTTCTCCTACGAAGTTAGTGCATAAGTCAAGTAACTTGGAAGGCTAGCGCCTGCAGCAGCGCTATGCGCTAGTGTAAGGCTCTTGTGTGTAGTGCTTTTCCCTTCCTTTCATTTTTATTTTTTTTTTTTTCGGTGGTGGTGTGTGTCCCTTTTTTTTTTTTTTTTTTTTTTTTTCTCTGTCCCAAGGTTTGGTCCTGCTTTTCGAGTCCCAGCACTAGGCTCCCTCCTATGGCCAACACACTTCACACCCACTTGTCATGGACCAAAGCATTCCTTCAAGCTAGGCTAATGAGTACCATGGAAGATGTTAAAGCTATGATGCATCTACCCGTAGGTGGTTGCCGCCGTTTTGCCGTCAGTGGGAGGGACACAGTATATACTATTGTAGTTTGAAGTATTGCCCCGTAGTTTTTAGACAAAACGACCGAGCAGAAGACTTGTTACTTGTTAGAGGCTAGGGAAAAAGAAGAAACATCAAATCCGACAGTCCCAAAAAATGGTCCGATTTTTGCGGAATCTGTCGGTGAGAAAAAGAAAACAAATAAACAACCACTCCGATTCTTAGTCTGGAAGGTCAAGAAACTGGGCTGGAAGTAGTAAGTCAGTAAGTAGGTCGGTCGCCTTGATCGCGGGTTAGGGATGTTCGAGCAGGGCTTGTTTGTTTCTGTCTATCTATCAGAAAAATTTCTGCGCAGCAACCAGGTCCCAAGGCGCTCTAGTGAGCTGCAGGTTAGCCAGCAGTAGCTACCCGATTCGCCCTCCCTTGGATTGACTCCACGGAGCATACTCCATCATGGAGTCCATGCAGAACCTCAGTTGATCACGGTCTCCTCCGCCAATCACCATCGCGGGCTTTCATTCTGGTCGTCATAGACACATGGTTGGTTCCACCGTACTTTTTGCCCCTTCAGTCCATCGGCCGTGTTTTAGTTTCGCTTCTCGCCCATCTTTCGCCCTCGGCCGGTCTCCTTCCCAATGTGTGTCCAGTTGACGCTCTTTTGTGTGCTTGGGTTGCTTTGGTCGCGACACACGGACGTTTTTCTTTCTTTCCTTTGAGAATATGAAATTGGGATAAAGCGGTGTAGATGTGTACATCCTCTAGTCTCTTCTTAGTAGATTGTATTCAATCATCCGACTGTGGGGGGTTGCTCAAGAGAAAAGAGATAGATCCAAAAGCAGCAATAACAATCCCCTAGAATGGAATAACAAAAACAAGACACATCTTCAAATTTGAATTTTTTTTTTTTTTTTTTTTTTTTTTTTTTTTTCTTTTCATTTTTTCTTTTAATGGACGCAATCGGAGGGGGGCACACCAGTTCCAGTTGCAGTTCCCATCCCGGCATTCCTGGAAATCCCCAATAAAAATCACCCCCAATCGTGCGTCGGACCAATAATCGCCACCCTAAAACATCCACCCGTTTTTGCCCATTTTAATTTTCACCCGGGGCGCAAAAGAGAGAGAAGAAAAAAAAAAAGAAAATTTTTCTATTCGAAAGGTGGAAACCATCACATCCAAACTTATCCCAACTTGAACATATCCACCTCACGGAACGGATTCCTCAGGCTTTGTGCCTTCCTATTGTTATTTCCATTACTATTTCGATTACCATCGTTGCTGCTTCCTGTTCCGACGGTAAGTACGGCCGGTCTTTAACTGGCCAACGATCGTTCCGGTGATTATTCCATTCCCATTCCCTCGCCTTTCCATTGCTCTCTCTGCCTCTCTGTCCTGTCCCCATCTTCCCGTGCAGCCGGTCGGCATCTCATCATCATCACCGCCGCCGCCGCCCATCCTTCCCTAACTCTCCCATTCCCTTCCCATCCATCCATTCATCCATCCTCCCTCCCTCCCTCATCATCCCCCCCCCCTGTGCACCATACTTCCTGTAACATTTACCCTACTTTCCCCTTTCCCCCCCAAATCTTCTCACCATCTCCTTTCTATCCTATTGTTCTTGTCTCTCTATCTGTCTGTTTATCTGTGTCTCTGTGTGTGTGTTATTAGACTATTATCTTGCTACTCTTAGTGCTACTTTTATTTCCCTGTTTCTAAACTGTATTGTTCCTCCCTCGTGTTTTGTGTGGTTATCGGTATACTACTTTACTACTACTACTTCGATTATCGCCTATCGTTCTCCTATTTCCACTGTACCCCTACTACACCTTTTTGACCACCTTCCTTCCCTTCCTTCTTTTTTCCGACTACGCAACTATGCCTTATAATACACGTCGCAAGTCGTTGTCGCTCCCCTCCTTGGGAATTCACCTCCCTAATACATCTCGCCGCTCTCCCTCCGCCACGAAATCGCCTCACGCGACCGATGATCAGCTCCCTCCCTCCAAGAAAGTGAAGAGGTCGCACGACTCGGCATACTCGCTATCTCCCGAGCCTTCCTCGTCTTCCTCTGCGCGCACTCCCGATGGCAAGGAATCCGCCGCTCCTCTACGTCAGAGTGGGCGGCGCGGTCCTTTGGAACATACGCCACCGCCATCCCCCACCGATGGTACTGTCGCGACTAAGATCGACACCGAGGGAATCAATGATGACATTGTGGTTGGTGTGATTGAGCAGTTGGAAAAGACTGGAAACCGGCCTCATTTGGTGAAGGAGTTGGCTGCCGTTCTTATCGCATTGAATGAGAATGTCGCAAAGTACGTGCCCCTCTTTTAATCTTCACCCTCCTTCTATGTCGCTGGCCATACTAACGGGTTATTTTTCCTTAACAGCTCTGCGAACCCTGCAGCCCTTCTATCTTCTCGGTTAAGTGCCTACATGAAGCGCCCGTGGACTGCTTTGGCGCCTTGTCCTTTGGCAAAAGAACTGGTCCCTATTCACCCGCGCAAAGTGTACTACTACTTGACGACATTGCCCCGTCAGCCTCTTCCAGAGAACTCGGACGATGTCATCATCCCCGGTGTAGAGGGCAAGGATATCACTCCCAGTGTCTCCAGCGCTGATCTAGACGAGGAAGACGCGATGGCGCGGGAGCGGTCTCGCCTCAGTCCCAGTCCGGAGGTCGACTTGTCCTCGCCTGACTTCGAGGAAGAGTCCATCGACTTGTGCGGTCGCAATGGCCCCGGTGGTGCGTCAAGATCTGGCACCGAATTCAACGATCACCACCATGCGCGGTTGATGCACTCGAACCGTGCTGCCTCCCCGCCATTGGAAGGAGATGAGAAGGAGTTCACACAAACTGCCAGCGCCGTCCGTGAGCGGGCCTCGGAACAAAAAGGAGGCCAGCTTCAGATTCCGGGAGGTGGCTTTTCTGCTCTTTCGGAAGGTCTGAGCGAGTTGCACGATGGCGCCATGAGCATTGCCGATTCCGTGGAGGACAGCCCTCTCTCCTCCATTAGCGGTGATCGCATGTCGGACGACCAGGATGGTGACTACTTCTCGCACAACGCATACCAGCAGCAGTCCCCTCTGCAAGATCATCTCCAGCAGCAGCAGGATCTCGATGACGCTGCTGTCGCCACCCTCTTCGGCACATCTCCCTCCCCGTCCCTCACATCTGTGGCCTCATCCATCTCGTCTGGCACGAGCGTGGCTTCTGATGACGGGCTGGATGGCGAGACGCAACCCGAAACCATCGGACGCACCCCTCAGATTAGCCTCCCGGAGGACCTGACCGTCCCCCCGGTATCGGCGCTCAAGCGTTCCATCGACATGCTGAACAGTGGGCTCCCCGATCTGGACATGAAAATGTCCGATCTCAATGAGCAGGACGACAAACTGCCATTGGGAGCCAGTGCCTTTGCCAGCCAGGATGTCGAGATGGTCTTTGATTCGTGGCGAGAGCTGCAGAGTCCCGAGACCGTGGAAGTCGATGAGCTGGACGAGATGTTTGGGGAAATCTGAACGTCGTCGTCGCGGCACTTCTCATCCACCAATCGATAGACTGACTAGAGGCGTTTGAATCGTGTGTTCTTTCTCGGGGAGTCGAAAACCAAACAGACTCCTTCCATCTCCACTCCCGCTGTAGCCGGCCTGTTGAGCCGGCTACCCACCTACACCACCTTGATACTCCGTTTGACCTAATCTTGTACAGCTTCTATTTGTTTAATGCCCGTTTTGCAACCTTGCTGCATCTTGTTTTGAACCCGCCATCTCTGGCGAGGCTCTCGCGCCTGCTGCGCCTGTACATATATACTCTTTACCCTTTTCTCACTCTCTGACCGTCTTGATTTTTTTATTATATCCCCTGGCTGGCCGTGATGTATCTGATTGATCGTTTTCTGGGGGTTTGAATTTGCAAGTTCTTCTCAAATGATGGGCAAGGAGAGATGAAGCCCGAAGCAGGTGATGATGAATACGGCCGAAGGAAGGAGAGGACCAGGGAGAAAGAAAAACACTGGGATATGCTTGATGCCTGACTATGTATGCTTAGCGCCTGTGGCCTTTGAATCAAAAAATTCCCCGCAAGGGTTAGATCTGACGAGAAACATGTGCCTGTTCACTCTCTGCTTTGTAGTTGAAGTAGCTCCTTCATCCTCGTATGCCCTTTCATCATAGTGAGTAGATATCTACCTGAACGTCTGCTGTGCCTGATAGACGCACGGCCTCCCGCGCCCTGGGGAATGTGGATGACCGGATCCTTCCTGGAATGTGGGGGGCCATTTGGCGTGACTGCAGGAACGAGACATGCCAAAGTAGCGGTTGTTGCAGGGAGTGAAAACACCCGACCTATGAGAAGAGATGTAGCACCATGGCAGAAGTATCCTGTGTCAAGAAAGAGAGAGAGATGCTGGGAGGAGTGGATACCTCAGGCACTAGAAGGCACTAGATTTCCATGACGTCATGCTACTACTCTTAGTCATTTAGGCGGTGAATGAATTTGGAAGGTTCTGGTTGGTTGGCGCGCAGTGGAGGGGACAAAGTACTTTGTTGCAATGGTCTCGAGTGGTCGGTCGTATCTAGCTAGTACTTCGTAGTAGAAGTAGGATGCCATAGTAGTTCTTATCCCGCCGCACGCCCCTCTTCATCCCGAATCCCCTGCACTTTTGGTTCCAGACTTAACCCCCCCCAATCTTCGTGCTTCCCTGCATTCCTATCCTCTCCAGGGCACATCGAACACCTTCCGACATTCATCGATTCATTTGGCGACCTTGACATTGCGCCTGATCTTCTGGTCCTTAATCCCGGTTTAAAAGCCCGGTTCGCACTCCGTCCCCGCGCGACATCATGCTTCAAACCTTGGCTGGGATTTTCTCATACGTCCGCCTGAAGTATTGACCGGTGTGGTTCATCGCCTTCCAAATCGCAAAATATATCCAGCCAATTTTCATCCAAAGAATCTATTCCGGACCCAAGAAAGACCACGTGACCGGCTGTCAATTCTCTCGGCGATTCGACCGGTGTGCTGTGGCGTTACCCCTCCAGGAACCATCTATCGTGGGAGAAAAAGACCATGGAGACGCCTGGGTTTTCCCAGCTTGATGAGGGCCTGTCGCAGGGCGATATCCCCCTTCGTCCTCATACCGATGGTCCATCTATTGTCGTGCCTACCGCGCATCCGCCGGCTCTTCCGGGCACCTCGTCGCATAACCCTCAGAAACCCAGATTGGCCACCCGTCCCGCGCATGCCGAAAAGAAGCAGCTTTTGTCCACGGGGAGCAGCAAAGTCGCCATTCCTCGACAGCGTTCGGCTGCAGCACCGCGATATACCAGACGAGTTCCGCTGGCGTGTGAGTCCTGTAGACAACGGAAGACGAAATGTAGTGGTGATACACCCGTGTGTCGACAGTGCAAGGAGTTGAGGATAAGTTGTCGGTATCCGATCTCTTGGCGGGAGCGGACGAAAGGGTATGTTGGTTGTGTGTTTTGTTGTTTCTTGGTATGGAGGTGGGGAATTGATACTGACGTTTCTAGGGAATTGGATAAACTTGCTGTGAGGGTTACGGACTATGAGAACTTACTGCGAGATCTTGGTACTATTGTCGATGGTCGGGCTGCGGAGCGTATTAGGACGGTGTTGGAAAAGGTTAGAGATATCCCGATCTTGGCGCTCGACGGAAACGAATGTCTCTGCTAGTCCCGTGAAGTCACTAACCCCGGCCAGCACTCCTATAACGGCAGCGGTAGCGGTGAAGGCACTCAGTCCAGTTCGGTGACACCCCAGGACGAAGACAACGATGATGAGGTGACCTCTCCTTCGTCCATCGGATCTTTGGATGCGATCGATCGGGTTGAGGAAGATGTGAACCGCACTCCGAGTTCTAGAGCCACTGGTTATATGGGAAAGAACTCTGAAGTCACTTGGATGCAGCGGGTGCGCATGGAGGCCGAGCATCGTGCTCGCAGACTGCCAGGCCCCTACGAGGCTGAACATGAGGGCGAGTTTGCCATTCACTCCGTCAACTACCATCTAGACGACATGGATATCTCTGTGCCAGGTCCTGTGCATGTGTACTGGATGCCGCCACGCAAGGTGGCAGATAAATTCTTCGAAGACTACCTCGATACGGTCCACCCATTTTATCCTATCATCAGCCGGACCCTCTTTCGGGCGCAATACAAAACGTTCTTCGAGAGCGCTGCACGGCCAGGGGACAAGTGGTTGGCTATCCTGAACATGATATTCGCCATTTCCGCCAAGCATGCCCATCTTACGCGGGCCCCGTGGCGGGGTGATGAAAATGACCATCTGGTGTATCTGACGCGAGCTCGGATCTTGAGCATGAACGGCGACGTGCTTTTTAGTCACCCTGATCTCCAGCAGGTGCAGGTTGAAGGTTTGATTGCCTATTATCTACTTGCATCGGACCAGATCAACAGGTAAGCAGCTCCAGAGAATCGTTTTGCCGAATGTCTCTGTTCTAACCTGACACTTGATAGGGCTTGGAGAATTGCTGCTTTGGCTGTTCGCTCCGCAGTCACTCTCGGATTGAACATGAAGAACTCCAGCGAAGGAACGGCCAACATATCCAAGGAGGCACGCTATAGGGTGTGGTGGTGTCTATACACGTTTGAGCACATGCTGGGCATCATGACTGGCCGAGCTACAACCATTACTGACGGTATCTGTACTACGCCGTTCCCTCTCCCCTTTGAAGAAGATCAATTGGTGGAAGCCGCAGCGACCAAGCTTTTGAACGAGCCCGAACTACGCCAGGAGTACATTGATACGGCCCTCGCCTGCATCTCTGTGCGGCAAATGCCATCTAATCCCAAAGGGGGTCGAAACGCTCAGACGACAGATAAACCGCGTGATCCCGCATGGCTGAGAAGCCTTCCGCCCTCAAGTGCTCTTGGATTCCTGTACTACGTCGACCTTGCAGTTATTTCGCAGGAGATTGTCAACCGTGTGTACTCACTGGATTGTGTTTCCATTCCATGGGGCCACATTGAGAACCGCATTGGTGAGCTGCGAGCCCGCACTGACGTGTGGTACGCCAATCTCCATGAGTCCTATGATTTCACTCGACGGGAAGACCAGCCAGCAGATACCTTGCGTGGCAAGCTCTTCCTCGCCTTCCACTACTACAGCGCGCGAATTACGCTAGGACGACCGTGTTTATGTCGCCGTGACGCACGACAGACGGCGTCTAACAAGAAGGAGACATTCAGCCATGAGATGGCGGTGATATCACTAGACTCTGCCCGAAAGATGCTCGACTTGATCCCTGATGTGCCTGACGCTGTTCGTCTCTACGATATTTGCCCGTGGTGGTGTATTCTGCACTATCTTATGCAGGCAACGACCGTGCTGCTGTTGGAGTTGTCTTTCGGCAGTATTCATATGCCAGATGAGGAGGTAAATTTCCTACACGCTGCTAAAAAGGCTATTCGCTGGCTCTTCGCAATGTCTGAGAACAGTCTTGCATCTCGACGCGCATGGGAGTTATGTTATGGCAGCCTTCGGCAGATTGCTGCAGGTATGAGCTACGACATTGGTGACTTGCCCGCGTGTGGCTTTGAGGCTCAGCCTCAGGCCCAGGATCAGAGCCAGGCGCTCAACGGTACACAACCTGGCTATTCGAACCAGCCGAAACAATCCATACATGCGGGACCAACCTTCTACAACCTTGCGGCATCAGACATGAACAATCCAGCCTCAGCTCCTCTTCAGATGAATCAGCAACCCAACATGTTGTTCGCTCAGATCGACCAGGCTTTCCAGGGCTTGGCGATGCCAGCCTCCAACCCGTTGTCCACGAATTCGGAGTTGAACTCCGGTCCCGGGGACTCGTATTTTCCGTACGATCCGATCAGCGGGGAATTTATCCGCTCATTCTTCCCTTCCTCTAACGACGAGGAGCCATGGGGTGAAGCGTGAGTGTTTTTGGTTGTTTGCTTGGAGAGCGCAACCTTGGCATTCGTTGTGGTTATTTCGCGCCTTATGATCGTTGTCATTCCCATTTCGTGCGAGCCAGCGATGCTCTATACCTTTTGTCTATTGAGATTGACTCTCAAGAACTTTTTCTTTTCTTTTCTCAATTTATTCCTGTTATATTGGAAGTATGTTTATGGCATGTATTTCTATCTACGTCTACGATATCACGCAGGGCGACTGGTGTTTTATAGGGTGTGATGGATAGAATGGGGTGATACAGGCTGGAACTGGTTGTTACTGCAACGATACACGAGATGGGATAGAGGGGACTGGAGCTTTAGGGTCTGATTGGCTTTCTATAGGATGATAGTGTATTGCGCACTGAAATACAATGGACCTCATCATATCTATGTTATAAATCCATTCATCGATCTAGACCGTGATATGAATACCAATGTTCTGATTGGCTGACCGCAAGACGCTGACTCAGCAGGATGAATTTCCCCGGCGAAGCTTTTCTCTTCGGCGGCGACGAAAAGCATCCAAAGCTTTCGCTTCCCTCCAACAGCTTCCCTCAAAGTCGCCGGTTATCGCCAGGCCTACGCCTTGTCCGCTCAGCTCGAGGAATGCCGACCCATCTCAAGGATTAGACATGCGCCACAGAACGTCCGTCCGACGGTCACATCGAGATTTGGATATCCTCCGCCCGCAGGTCTCCTCCGCTACCTCCCCCGTCGTGTCATGAAAAGGTGCCTGAGTCCAGCTCGTCTGCCGTGCCTGGACCGCGGATCTTCCTCCGTCCTCCACCCTTCGATCCTCCGTCGTCTCATCCCCCGACACACACTCGCGTCCGTAAGCCGGGGACCTTTCCCCGATAGGCGACGACAATGGAGTCGCCAATTCTCCGTCGGGGCCGGTCCTCCGATCAATCGCCAATTGCTGCAAGACTATGTTAGGGTGGAAATGAAGAGATGTCCTATCGCAGGACCAGATCAGAGTAATCCGGAGGCTTGGATCTCAAGGCTGGATCAGTACCTGCCATCTTCGTTGCGGAGAGATAGCGACGGTGGTCATACAAACATTGACGATGTTTCGGATGACAAAATGGTTTGGACCGATACAGCGGCTTATTTTGCGCAGACGATTGAATTGGCTAATTTGCTGCTGCATGCGCGGGATTCCGGGAAGATGGATTTGCTGGCGTATGTTGGTTTCCGGTTGAATAATTGGCCCGCTGTGCAGTTCTTGATTAATCGTTTGCTTGATGCCGCGGACTCTCTTAAGGAGGTTACGATACCTTCTAGACCTTTATCTAGTTATGACTGGGGTCTGGGACAGGGGCTCTCGCTGGATGAGCTTACGGATAGGTCTGAGTCGCAGGCTCCGAAAATTCCGCAGGCGGCTTCGAACGGCCTGCCGGCGTCGGATATGACGAGCTTGGATGCTTTCACGGAGCGGCCGTATGCGGATGACCATTCGAAACGACTTATGGCTGAGGTGTGGCAGAGCTTGGGGTCTATCGTGTTGGAGGCTGCTGACGCTTCGCCTAACGAGTCGAAGCTGGCTATGTCTCATGTGTTCCAGATTTTAGCTCGGCTGCATCACTCTGATGCTATCTCCGATAGGGTGTATAAGTACGTCCCGCCGGATAGTTACCAAGCTACATTCCGACCTCCGGGAATGCATCTGCTTTCCAGTCATATCATGAGTGTCCTATCTGATGCTGCGTGGCTGGTTCATGAAGCGGAGGTTGCTGCTAAAGCGGCGGCTGCCGGCGAGGATTCGCCTTATCTTCCATTCAAAATGGGGGTTCGTGAGCTCGGGCCTGAGATCTGGCTGGAGTTTATCCTCTGGTGCTGTGTTGAACATGGTCACATCGAGGAGGGAGTATGGCTAATTGATCGAATGACAAGCAAGACTGGAGATCAGGCCTGGAAATTTCAGAGCTGGAAGCCCTTACTCGATGACTCTGGGTCGGTCTGGCAGACTAAAGTCGACCAGGAAGAGACTTGGCGACAGCCCGGCCACCAGGAGCGCTCTACGATGCTGCGAAAGCGGCATAGTCCGACGCCTTTCCACGGGCTCGGAAAGCGAACCATGAGTACTGAAGTGGCCGCGGCCTTGTTGGATAGCCTTCCCAATCAGGTATATCTAGGCCTTGGTTTCAGAGGTATGTCGCCGAGCGCCCTCTTGCGCTATGCTTCCAGTCTCAAGTTCGCGATTGCTCCGTCAACGGACGACGGCAAATTACTGCCCACGCGCAGAACATCGAACTGGTTCACCGTGCGGGTTGTGGAATCAGGAGGCCTCAAACCGGAAGCCGACCCCCGGATATTCGAAGACTTCCTCAGGATTACGCCGTGTGTCGTTCCGCCCTGGGATACCGGCCTCCACCATGTCAATGAAGATGCGTTGACGCGTATGAGTCGGTCACAGCTATACGATGACACAGCTGCCTTGGTCGGTCTGGTTGAGTACAACATCCGGTTCTATTCGTCGAAGCGTTTCTGCGGTGACGCCCTGAACGCATTCTCCTGGCTGCAAGCCATCGTTGACAGCAGCAAAATGCAGCGCATCGACGAGTTCTTCTCTTCGCGCGTCGATCGACCTGGCGTCGTCCTCCCTACCCTCGACCTTGATGATTTGAATTCCGCCGAACCCTTCGAATCATCCATGCCGCAACTGTCCAGCGTCACCCTGGCCGAGCTGATCGACCTAATCACCGTCTCGCGCGCCTTCACATTCGGTAACTGGCTCTTCTACTCCGACGACATCGATGGCCCCCCAGTCCCTCCCCGCTCCTACGGCGACCAAGCCCTAGCTCCGTCCATTATCCGCTACGCTACAGCAACTCGGAACGCTGCCCTCTGCGACGCAGTCGTTCAATCACTCTCCCAACCTCTCTCCTCCAACACCCTCCGCGCACTCCTCAACTCCCGCATTGCCCTACATCAATGGGACGCAGTCACCAAACTCTTCGAATACCTCCGCGACTACCGCGCCAAATCCTGGGGCCAGAGCAACGCCACCGCGCTCGCCGCAGAGATCATCCGTCTCGAGCACACCATCTACCGACAACAACCACCCCCCGACCCCTCAACCCTCCAAGAAACCATCACCTCCCTCACCCGCGCCAAGGACCTCCTCTCCCGCCTCCTCACCGGCGTCTACAACGAACCCACCCACATCGCCACCTCGCGCTTCCAAGAACGCGCCATTTCCGGCCTCCACAACATCTTCCTCTCCATCCCAGGCACCCTCCACGACCTCGCCGCCTCCCTCTCCAACACCCTCCCCCACAACAAAACCACCATCAGCACCACCAATAATACCTCCCACAACGCCATCCCCTACATCCCCACAACAGCCTTCCACACCCTCCTCTCCGCAATAGTCGACACCCGCGGCAGCGCCGCCGGCCAACGCTTCTACGACAAATGGTGTCTCGACACGAAGTCCCCCACCTCGCGCCGTCTCCAAGAAGGAGGCATCGAGAGATTCTATCTTGGCAAGGAGCGGAACCCCGCGAAGGGCGATCCGCACTTCGATGCCAAGTACTTCAAGCGTGCGAGGGAGAAGGCCACGATGCCGAATCCCATGACGGTGCGGATTATCGCGCAGGCTGCTGTGGCGGAGTTTGATGCGTTTGAAGGTCAGGGTGGTGTGAAGAATAATCCTGCTGAAGAGGTTCTGGATTTCTGTATCAAGAGGTTTGAGGCCTTTGGGATGCGGAGACGTGAGATTAATCGCGAGGTTGGGGGGATTGTGTATAGGAGACGGAGGGAGGGGGGCAAGTTGAGGAGGGAGATGGAGAGGAAGCAGAAGGAGAAGGAGAAGGAGAAGGTAGATGCTTTGGCTGCTTGATTGAGCATTTGGATGGGGTTGTGCTTATACCATGATTGATCTGTCTGTGTCCTTCTGGGGGGTTATGTACTGTGTACTAGTATGTATTCTTTTGGTTTTGGGATATATATATGCATGGGTTGTTTATAGATGAGCGATAATAGATTACTGTATTATAGTACCCTATTCAATAAGCATTGATGTGCTTTTTAAACAGATATCTACTGTTGATCTTATGTGGTAGCAATATGGACTACTTCAGTTACAGTTTGTTGTTGGTATAGATGAAAATATCCCTCCCTCTGAACTAGTTTGCACTAGAGATAGGAGCATTATGAGACAGCTGTAAAAGGCATGGTATGTACACCCACTTCTAACAATTATCAACACTAATGGCGCATTTGAACATCAAAGGTATCATAAACAACATATAAACCACAACCGAACATCCCAAAATACCCATAACGCATAATCCCAACCAGCTAGCTCCCAATAGCGCCCCAGTAGTAGACAACGATATCAGCAGAACGAACAAATGTTTATGACACTGCGACTCCAGAGCTTCCCTCAATCATCAATCATCATACTCGAAGCGTCATCGTGGCGCAGAAGACACAATAATATCATTTAAAGCTCCTCCTCCTCGTCAACTCCCATCTCAACGTCCTCATCAGCATACTGCATGTCACCACCCAATTCCTGCTCGACTTCGTCGACAACAAAGCTCTCGTAGTCTTCCAAGCCCTTTTGAACATGGACCTTGAAACGGATGACATCGTTCAGCATGCTTTCAACATTGGTGTGCAGCTCCTCTCTCAATGCGTTCGCGCGGAGGGTCAATTGCTCATACTCAATGTTCGTGTTCATCTCGCGCTGCTCCATCAACTGAACGCTTTCGCCCAACGTGGCTCGCATCTTGGCCAGCTCCTTCTCCATCTTCTCAATCTGTGCATCCGACGCGAGCTTCTGCGTGGTGGTGACCTCCTTGAGCCGCTCGAATTCCTCTTCGGCGGCACGTGCCTTGTGCTCCAGAGCCTCAACCTCGCTTCGCTTCTCGTCCATTGCTTCCTTGATGTTGTCCAGGAGATTGCGTCGTTCCAAGTCATCATCAATGGCACGCTTCCGGCGCTCGTTGATCTCCTTCCGGAGGGCCTGCAGATTGCTGCGCACAATGCCGCGCAGATCGAGGTTGAGCAAGTGTGCAGGATGATAGCCAGTGAAGGGGTCCGCCAATAGTCGATCTCCATCGGTTGAGATTCGGTTCGCTAGACCACCGACCTGGGAGGCGGAGAAATTGCTCTCGTTCACGTTCAGACTAAGCTCGTAATCTTCGCCCTTGGCATTGACGGCAGACGAAGGAATTAAACTGTTCTGGTATCCAAGCGTGTTGTAGACCTTGACGATCTCCTCCAGATCTTCGAGTTTTCTACTAGCCTCGGCCTCCTTTGCCATGACCCGCGCGTGGGTCTCTTCCAATCGGTTGACTGTATCGTCAAGATTCCTCTGCAGGCGCTCACGTTCCGTGTTCATGCGATCGATATCCTGGATTGTCAGGCCTTGTTGGTCAACGCTGGCCTGAAGCCCAGCCCGCTCCTCTTCGGCGGCTTGCAGGTCATCTTCCGTCTTCTTGAGCTCGTCATCCAAGAATTTGATGCGGGTCTCATATTTCTCAATTTTGCCCTGAACATTCTGGTTGTAGTCTTCGAACTTCCTCTTGTCGTCCTCCAAGATCCTGAAATGCTTGTCCAACTTGGCCATGTCCGGAGCGTTCTTCTCCATCTCTTCGATCTGGTCACGTAGCGCTCGGTTTTCGGCTTCCAAAGATTCCATCTCCTGAACGTATTTCTCATTTCCTCTCTCAAACTCCTGGGCCATCATCTCAACATGAGGGACTAGTCTCTTCTCGGCCGTCGCGTCATCCTCATCTTCCCCGCCTTGCAGCCAGTCGTGGTAGGCACTTGTAAGAAAACGGAAGATGATCCGGTCACCAGACACATCGACTCCCATCTCTGCGCAAGCCTCATCATACTCCCCGAGCAGATATCTATCCATCATCTGGGCCAGTTGCATCAGCCAATGCAGCATACCGAGGAAAGTCGGCCAGTTCTGGCCTCCCACAGCCGCAATCTGCGACTTGGTGATACCCTTTTCGTAGGGATAACGTAGTTGCTTGAGAATGGGTGGAACCTCCGCGTCCATGCTCTTCTGAAACTTGTACCCAGGATCAATGCGATGATACAGCCACTGGAAAATGTAGTTGAAATCTTTTTGTGTAGGAGAGCGTAAGGTATTCTGCCCCAGTGAATGCTTCATCTCGAGCTCAAAATTGTTGTGAGTCAAGTATTCCAACAGCTCTTGTCCAATGCGAGCTTGAAAAGACCTATCTCTGAGTGGCCGTGGGTCTCTGGGGACACCAGCAACTGACGGGACCTGAGTAAAGAAAGAATGGTGACCCATGGCGCCACCCACGGACGGTCGTGAGAAGACACTACTCCTCCGTTGCAATCCTTGCGACCCTGCTGTGCTTTGCGACGACATCGGGCCCGGAGCAAAGCTTGGGCGCCCGACACTAGGGCCATGGAACATGTTACTGGAGACGGAGCGTCTGACTGATGAGAGACCGGCATCGGCACCAAAACCTCCACCTGAAGAAGACCGCTGGAAGTTGGGCTGTTGAGGACGACTGGCGGAGTTGAGAAGCGACATACGCGTGTGCTGAGAGGTGAAAGGAGGATTCTGGTATCCGATTGAACTGGTGCGCTTCAAGGCCGAGGAAGGTTGTGGAAGAGCGGAGTAATTCTGGCTACCCATCGCCATAGACTGAGACAGCCAGATTAGTATTATACAAGAGGGGCGGGCCTGAAGGAAGCAAGGCACATACCTCGCGGGGGCGCCTGATGCTGAACAATCCTGTATCCTGCGACATGATGACGGTAGAAGCCGCGACTGCGGCAGGCAATCACAACCCTAGCAAGCGCAAACTCTTGAAAAACGGCTGATTTGCAAGGGGTATGCGATTTGTACCAAAATCGATATATCCAGAAGAGGCGCGACACCAAGTTGGCGACGGAGGCGCAATAGGAGGCGGGAGAGTTGTGGATGGCAGTAGCAACCGAGCGGGCAGCAATAATCATAATAATCAAAGTAAACAAGACATGCCACTTTCTTTCGTCCCAACAAAGTAGGCGGTGAAGCTCAGGGAACAACTGCCGGATTGGGCCAGGCGCTATCACGAGACTCTGGGGAAAGTCACGGGAATCTCCGCCGCGGTACGAAACCAGAACCACGTAAATTACCAGCGCTACTTCCGAGGTCCATCTGATTTGGGAAGGGCCGCTCCATCGCCTCCTCATCTTGTGTCTCTCTTCTCCCCTTCTCCTCATCGTCCCTTTCTCTCGGATCCTTCCCCCAACACTCCTCCTCGCTAAGGATAACCCTGTTACCACCCAGTTAGAGCTACTGCTCCTGGGAAAGTTGCCCATCATGGTTCGCGAGGAGCTTATCTCCTCTGCTGTAAGTGCCGCTTTTATCTATGATTAACATCTTGTTGCCGGAATCGGAGCTGACCCTCACGCACGATCGCTAGGTCACCTGTATGTGCTCAACACTCCCATTTCATGTTGATTCATGTGCTCGTCTAATGTCTTTGCAGTCCTCCAAGACCCATCTGTCGCCGCCTCGCCAATTGAGAAGCGAGTCGCATTCCTCCAGTCAAAGAACCTGACTAAAGAAGAGATCGATGTTGCGCTCGCCCGAGCAGGTGAAGATCCGTCTACAGCAGCTGCCGCCGTAACCGCATCATCTGGCTATCAATCGCCTCCCCAACAAGCTGTCTACCGACCTCCTCCTCCACCTGCTGCAGGCTATGGATATCCTCCTTATGGTCAATGGCAGGCTCCGCCAGAGTGAGTCTCGATTCATGTCCATTTCATACTGTATTCAACTAATCTTGCGTCGCAAGGCCCCCGAAACGGGACTGGCGTGACTGGTTCATTATGGCTACGGTGATGGGAGGAGTAGGTTACGGACTCTACATGATTACCAAGGTCGGTGTTTCATTACTCACATTGCTCGATCAATTGAAACATGCTGACATTGGTTAAGCGCTACATCTCACCTTTAATCGCACCCCCCACTCCACCCCAGCTCGAACAAGACAAGGAACACATTGATGAGCAATTCAATCGCGCATTTGCCCTGATCGAACAACTGTCCACAGATACTGCCGCACTGAAGTCTGCGGAGGAGACGCGCACAGAAAGGCTAGACACCGCCCTGCGGGAGGTTGAGAACCTCGTTTCTGACATGAAGAACGCCTCCCGAAGGAGGGACGATGAGACCCGTCGTATCAGCGACGAGGTCAAGTCACTGAAGGATGCGATCCCCAAGGCCCTGGAAGGCGCCCGGGAAGGCAATGAGACACGGTTGAAGGAGCTTGGTGCTGAATTGAAGAGCCTGAAGGTCTTGCTGGGCAATAGACTTGGTGGCAGCGGCAACAGCGCCACCTCTCCTGCTCCTGGACGGTTCAGCGGTATGAGCATTCCTACTGCTTCTCGGCCTGCGGAGGAGTCAACTCCCGCTGCTACGGCCCCGGTCAACGGTACGCCCGCCGCGCCAGCATCAACCGAGCAGCCCTCTCAATCAGCACAGCCAAGCGCGAGCCCTAGCACTACCTCGGCGAGCAACAGCCCTCTGTCGCACCTGGGTCGTTCTGCTTCCATTCCTGCCTGGCAGATGGCTGCTGCCAACCGCTCCAAGACCGCATCTCCCTCGACCCCTTCCACCAGCACTGCGGACAACACGGCTAGCGCGGCTCCTGAGTCGAGCGCCCCGGCCAGCTAAACACATACCAGATACTATGAAGATTTCACTTTCCAGCGAACTGCATTGTTCCATTCTTGTAATTAGATGGAGGTTATCGAACGAACTTTACGCATGAGATGTCTAGGCGTTGCTGGATGGTGCGGAGGATGTACAGTATGTAGCACGTGAAAGTACCATGTCGCAACACCACTTCTACCCATAGTTATCCCGATTAGACACAAAAAAAGATCTTAGAAACAGCATGCTCGTTCAATTCCTATTGACCACGAAACAGAATAAAGCCACAGGGCAGACCCGCTCTTATCAGTCGATAGACATTCCATGATTGACGCCCATCCGCCGCACCCAAAAGCTTGGCATTTCGACGTCAGTCCCGTTCACCTGCACAAGTCTCACCAACACTTTACACCTTAAAACAATCCTCATTTATGGACAACCCCCACCCTGAAAGAACCATGGCCACCCGCGACTCCTACTCCCACTCACACTCCCACCGAGATCGCACCCACTCCCACACCCGCTCTCGCACACGCTCACGCTCTCCCAATCGCGATCCTACCTCTAGATCCGACAGACACCGCAGCAGCAGACATCACCACCACCGCCATCACCATCACCGACACGACCGCCACCGCGACCATGATCGCGATCGCCACCGCCGTGATCGCCATACCTCCCGCTCAAAAGATCAAGCAGAACCGGCACCAGCAGCCCCCATAGTCCTTCCCTTCAACTCGCGCGAACTCACCAAATATGACCTGGAGCACTACGCCCCTATGTTCGATATGTACCTGGACATTCAGAAGGGGATAATTATGGATGATTTGCCGGAGGATGAGGTGAAAGGGAGGTGGAAGAGCTTTATGAGGAAATGGTAAGCAGATTACGAACTTGGTTCTTCGGATGGGTAAATATATGCGAGGACGGGATTTAGTTGACATGGTGCTACTACAGGAACCGCGGGGAGTTAGCAGAGGGGTGGTATGACCCTGCTACATTGGAAAAGGCGAGGACGAATATTGCGCAAATGCAGGCGCAGACGAGTACGAATACTGTTTATCGGGGCGAATCGCAACAGAATGAGCGAGGGGATGAGACTCGAGATAGGAATGTTGAAGGGGAAGAGGATGAGGACGACGATGAATACGGCCCGGTGCTTCCATCTACATCTGGGCGTGGTGGAGGTCCATCCTCGGGACCCACGATACCTACGATGCAGGATTTGGAGTTGCGGAAGGGTATGTCTCATTCCTTGTTACCGAGGCTCTGTAGTTTACCAAATGGGGGCAAGGGGGTCCACTTGTGACGGGCATAAAAGCTAACGACAAGCAGAACTAGCAGCCGAAGACGCAATTGCGGCACGTCAGGACTCGCGCGCCCAATATCGCAGTGAACTGCGCTCACACAAGTCAGAGGTCAAATACTTGCAGGAGGAGGTAGCGCCGCGCGCGGAACCGGGTACTCATGAACGGCGCATGGAGAAGCGACAAGAGGCCGCGGCGAGTAATCGCGCCTTTGCGGAGGCGAAGCGTGGGGGGTCTCCGGAGGCTGCGCCGGAGGAGGAGTTGATGGGGTCTGGGGAGAATGATCTGGATTCGTTGAAGAAGGCGAAGGAGAGGGAGCAGCGGAAGAAGAATGAGCGGGAGATTCGAAGGGAGGAATTACTCCGGGCACGGGCGGCGGAGCGTGAGGAGAGATTGCAACAATATAGACAGAAGGAGGAGGAGACGATTGGGTGGTTGAAGACGTTGGCTAAGCAGAGGTTTGGGTAGTTCTTCTGTCTTGGTTTATATACTACTAGTGTTATGATCGTGCATTGGCTGTAGACGGGACGTCAATGGAATATAGCCCCTTATCCCTGTCAACCTCTTTCCTACTTATCATTCACACTGCTGCTGCAGCATCCTTAATTTGCATAGAGGCGGCTACTTCTCAACTCGATTTGCTACTATATTGAGTCCTTGACTGGATAATCTGAAGATCACATGGTAAACTAGACGTACTTTGTTTACGGGCAGGGACATCATCCAAACCATCACATTCCATGAACGATGAACCGATTCCCAACCGCGCCTATTTGTCGGTACAGTCGTATCAAATACACCCAAAAAGCCCTAAAGCAACCATGCCGCTCACTCTCAAGAGCATCAACGCTCTACTACAATGCCACTCTTGCCAGCAGAACCTCATATCAGACCAGTAAACAAGCCACCCAAGCACATCTCAACGCATCCTAACCGTCACCAGACTGGAACAACCACGATGAATTCTTCAAATTTACACGAGGCCGCTTCCTCATCAACGAAGCCGAGATCCTCCGCATGCGCGAGATCCAATTTGACATGAACAGCCTCGCCCAAATCGCAGCAGAATCAGTCGGGGCCACTCACTGCACCTCCATACAGAAGTATCCCGACGGCATGTTCAACAAGACCTTTCTCATGTCGATGGATAATGGCCACGAAGTCGTAGCCAAGGTTCCTAATATGAATGCTGGTATTCCGCATCTAACGACAGCTAGCGAGTTTGCTACCATGGACTTTGTAAGTATTTCCTACCACGTCTGTTATATATGCTGAATCCGGCTAACACAATTCGATCCTGGGAGGCCAGAAACGTGCTTGAAACACCAGCGCCTCGCGTCTATACATGGAACTCGCATGCACAATCACACCCAGTCGGGGCTGAGTTCATCATCATGGAGAAAGCTGCCGGCGTTCCTCTTTCTCATGTCTGGGAGACACTGAAACTACCTCAGAAGCTACAAGTGCTTCTTGCCATGATACGTCTACAGAAGAAATGGCTGAGCGTGTCATTCTCGCATTATGGCAGCTTATACTACGCAAAAGACATCCAAGCATCACCACCAGAAGACACCCACTACATCAAGAACGGCAAAGCCATCAAGGATCCACAATTCGCCATCGGCCCTACCACAGGCCGCGATTGGTGCGATGCGAGCCGCTCACTTTTGGGTATAGATAGAGGACCATGTACATCCTACGTCAGAATCCCTACCATCTGCGAGCAGTCGCTAATACGTTTGTAGGGTCCGATATACTGCAGTTATGCAAGCAGTTGGGACACGAGAAACAAAAGCAATCCAATCCCTGCACCCATCTAAACAACTGGCCCTATTCTGCGGCCCAAAGCTCTACCAACCATGCCCCCAATCCAAACTCATAGCTCTATCCCACTACCTCGAAATCCTCGAATCTCTCATCCCAAAAGACACAGCCCTCATCACCCCGCACCTCTGGCACAACGACCTCCACAACGACAACATCTTCATCGACCCGCAGAACCCCGAATCCATCACTTCCATAATCGACTGGCAATCAACCCATATCTCCCCGCTCTTCACCCACACTCCCGATCCGGCCTTTCTCGACTGGGGGGATGGCCTCGAACCCGAGACGCTCGACCTACTACCTAGACCGAATCTCTCCGGTCTCACTCCCCAGGAAATAGCCGCAGCAGTGCGCGAATACACCACCCAGAACTTATTCATCGGATGGCGCAAGCTCACGCGCGCCAAGAACCCAGCTCTACATCAAGCTATCGAGTTCAGAAAGACGCCCGCGTACGGGTTGATATTCCTTGCTCATCGGATGTTCGAGTATGGCGAGGCGCATTTCATGTCGCTGCTTGTTGATATGAAGGATCATTGAGTTGAGTTACCAGATACTGGTAATGTCCCGTTCCCGTTCGAGTTCACAGATGCAGAGATCGAGCGTATTAAAGTGGCCTGTGATGGAGCGGTGGCGGGGACGGAACTTGTCGCTGGGGCGAAGGAGCAACTGGGCGGTTTGTGGCCGGATAAGGGGCTTATTGAGAATGAGAGGTATGAGGAATGTAGGGCTGCGCTGGGGGAGGTTAGGGATCGGATTGTGGAGGAGTTGGGGGAGAGTGAGGAGGAGAGGGAGGAGTATCGGCGGTGGTGGCCTTTTGATTGAACTACTATTTCAGAGGGATATGATGTTTGTTGGTAGGATAGAGAATCCGATCTCATATACTAAGATGTTATTAAAGAAATCCAAAACTTTTCTAGTCCTCTACATCTATCTACCAACCATACCCAGTAATCCAGCACCCCTTTTATATATAAGTAAAGAGATAACCATAAGAAACGCCACAAAGCAACATCATATAAAAACCAGAATCAATCAACAAAGGACAAAGAAGGCAAATAGATTAAGCCTTCCTCCCCAAATCCACATCCCTAACCAACTTCAACATCTCCGTCCCCTTACTCACATCCCCATCCTCCTGCAACCCAAAGAACGGCTTGACAGCCACATCGACCGTCTCCTCAAACAACCTACCCACAACCAACTCCTTCAGATCCTCGCCGGTCTGACCGAAATCCGGATAGGCATTCAACTCCAACAACCAAGCATTACCCTTCTTATCGACCAAAAAGTCCACACCGAAGAGTTCAAACGCATTCGGCAGAGTCTGGAAATGCACCATCATGCCCCTCGCCGCAGCCTCGAAGATCTCGCCACTCACGGCGCAAATCTGATCAAAGACGTTCTGTTTCCACGTATCGCTGAGACCGGGGACGTAGTCCTCTAGGTTCCAGAAGCGGCGGACGCTGTCAGGGTTAGCGCGGCCGTTTTCCTGGAAACAGGTGTTGGTGAGATGGCGGGCGAGGTCGGTGACTTCGTCTTCGTCCTCGAAGGGAGGACAGTAGGGTTTTGCGGCGAAGAGGGCGAGCATTTCCTTGAAGACGTAGATTTTGAGGGAGCCGACGGCGAGGACGTAGGTGCGGATGTGGAATTTGCGGTTATGGGAGGAGGGGATGAGGAGTGGAGGGTCGATGTAGGGTTGGGCGATGAAGTGGCGGAGTTGGGAAGTTACGACGCCGTGGTTGTCGTCGTCGTCGTCTTCGTTGTCTTCGGGCTCTGGACGCTCGGAGCCGCTTTCATCGTCGGAGTCGGGCACTTCCCATTCTTCGAAGATTTCGCGCAGCCCGTCTTCGCTGTTGAAGAGGCGGATGCCTTGGCCGCGGTCGCTCATGCCGGGCTTGAGAATCCACCATTCTTTTTCTTCATCGGGGAGGGTCTCGTTCTTGGCGAGGCTGTCGCGCAGCTCGTAGGCCTCGAGGAGGGCATCGTCGAGGAATTCGGCGTAGTCGAGCTCGAAGTCGAAGCCGGGCTTGAAGTGCTTGGCTAGGACGCTGTCCGGGTGTTTCGTTACCCAATTGATGACGGTGTTGGACAGGTAGTGTTTGCGGATGAGGGCTTTGCGGATGATATAGGCGTTGGCGAGAGAAGTGGAGGTGTGCATCATGACATGCTCGAAGTCTAGCCGTTCGTATTCGCGGTACTGGAAGATGGGTGTAGTGCGAGAGGGAAGGTCAGCGAGAGATGAGATGGCGCGACATTGACCATTTCCAAGACGACGCTGGAGCGCCCGCTCCATCAGACTCTGGACATAGGAGTCGTCGCTGTCGACGAGAGAATAGAAGGTAGGCTCAGTGTTATTATCCGGTCTACATGAGATGGAATCTATCAGAATACCAGCCATAACAGACAGACCAAGATAAAGTGGTAGCAAAAACATCAGTCAAAGGGGCGAACAGCAGAGCGCGAGATGCATAAACTAGCTTGTATATCTGACAGACGCGCAAATTCTATGTTATATGCAAATACGCCGCGACTCAACATCATTCCACTCACAGCGTAATCTCTCCTTGAATTCCAGGTGTATGCATGAAATTGGCTCGAAGCGGCGTAACACTGTGACGCATTAGCGGATTGGCCAGCAAATTGATAGGGTCTGTACAAACCTGGTCATGCCCTCCTTGACAGCCCAGCCGTCGTTCCCTGGAGCACCCTCCTCCACACTTCTGTACACATCCGAGAAGTTTGGCGCCCACTCGAAGTGTTTGTGTTGGATGCGAGATCTCTTCAATGGGCTCGTTCCATCCACGGCTGATGGCGCCTTCTCTCCCGCGGGCACAGTCTGGTGTCGCACGTCGTGCTCCTGCTTCTCAGGCGTATTGGCCGAGGCCGAGGCATCGACCGCGCGGAAACAGCTGCCCGATGACCAGCGGTTATCGAGCATGTTGGTGTACAGCACCTTGTTCTGGCTCACACCAGGCTCCAGCGGGACATTGACAGTATATAGATCCACACCGTCGGCCCAATTCTTGTGGAGGTACTCGACTAACCGAACGGCATGACGCGATGCCTCCGCGATGACAACGGGATCATGGTCTCTGGAGCTAAAGGCGTACGACAGTGCGATAGCGGGCTTACCGCAGACTGCTGCCTCCATGGCACCGCCAATGGTTCCACTGGACAGGGCGAAGAGAGCAGTTGAATTCCGGCCGTAGTTCGGACCGGACACCACGAGGTCAATCGGGCCACGGTCTTGGAAGTAGTGGTACAGGCCAATCTGAACACAGCTGGCCGGTGTGGAGTCCACAAGAATCCATTCATCTCCATCGTAGTTGTCATCGTCGCCCTCGTTCATACCATGAGGAAATTCGTGTGTGGTCCCATCGTCTTTGTGCAGAGTACCGGGACGGAAGTAGGTTGGCTTCACGGCGGCCCCGATCAAGTGGGCTTTACCGATCCATGATCGCTGCTGGTGGGGGAGAACGACAGATACAATGTGCCCGGCAGACTGCAACGATTGGACGAATGAATGGATGTACGGCGAGGACTGGTTGGACGGCGGGCCGTCGTCGTTGACAACCTATAGGCGGAGGATGGTGATCAGCATGAATTCAGAGGGGGAATTGGGGACAATGAATCTGGTCTTGCTCCAGAAGAGGTCTGCGAGAATAAGATAAGCCACTTACTAAAATATGCATTATTTGGGAGTGAGGAGTCTGGAGCGAGAGCGACAAGGGTTGAGGAGAGAAGGAAGAGAGGGTGGAGGGGCAGGCAAAGGCAGAGTTGGGCGGCAGCGATATTCCCCCGCCTTTCTCTTCCTTCTCCACCCGTTATCGATAACTACTCTGCCTTAACTATATTCATCGCTCCATCTGCAGTCCAGTACTCATCAGCATTCAAACCAGTACACAACTGTATCGTATTGGGTATCTCGAAAGGAATAGCTACAATGCATATCTCTGTTACTCTTGAATTATATGGCTTCGCCGTCTCTGCACTCCTCGGGCGTGAGCACTCTCCCTGGCTGTGCCTGAGCCAGAAGCCTCCAGAGGCTCTTCGCCTCGGCCATCTTCTGCGTCCTCTTCAAACAGAATTTTGTTTAGGGCAACTTCATCTGCACTTCCAACATCACTTTCCTCGTCCTCTTCCTTCACGGCATCCTCAGGCTCTATCGCCCTCCTTCTCTCCGCTGCCTTAGAGGATTCCGCAATCGGTACATCGGAAAGCGGCTCGTCAATTTCCTCCTCTTCTTTCTTGATGAGGGGTGTAACGCTGCGATCCTCCTGCTTAACAACAGGACCGGATGTATCATCCCGACTGCTAAGAAGCGATGCTAAAACCAGCCATGCGAGCCCTGCAGAAGCCATGCTGATGCTCCAGAACAGGAAACCGAAGACAACAAATGAAGTGAGTCTCCAGTTATACATTACCCAGCTAACCTCCCTATCAGCATCATCAAGGAAACGGGAATATAAGGGGTACCAAGAACATACCGCAAGCCCGTAAAACGTGCCCGGAACATGACCTTCGCTTTGTATACTTGCATTATCTCCGAACTGTGCAGCTCCAAGCGCAAGCTTTCCGGTATGTTGCGCGAACCACGAGCGAACTGCACTCGTTCCATCATCGGCACTTGCAGCTTCTCCGCTTCGTGGTGCCATCCCAGCACATAAAACGGCATGAACGAGATCTTACTAGCGGTGTCCACCAACGGCGAAGCATAGGTAAGAATAGCAGGGCGGCGCGAGTGGGACAGAGTCGTAATCGAAGTGTTCGTATCCTGCGGGGCAGACGTAAACGGACGGGATAGGAGGGCCAAATCTAGCATGAAATTACCCGCGGCGAGATTGGAGGGTGTTCGTGGTAATTCGAGTTCCACCTGGACATCGTACGGCAGGGATGAAACCAGGTCTGATCCCAGGCTTGCGATTCCCCAGGGAGGTCCTTCGCTAGTATTCGGTAACAGAAAGAGTCAGCCATGGGTCATAACCATTGGTCAAGCGAAGGCATCAAGAGATCAATATCTGCTCGTAGTATAGATCCTAACTCACCCAAACTGCAAGTGGACAATCCGTTCAAGGCCCGCCTGCGGGATGAACCTGTAGTAAAAGACCCCATACGCGACCGTCGATGTGACGATCATGGCTATAGCCGTACAGAAAAATAGAAAGGCTCCTAAGTAGATCTTTTGGGCTCGTTTGGATACAAGTGGTCGGAGATATTCTGTCACTGTGTGCTGCGTGTTTGCGAAAGTCGTTAGTTCCTGGTCTGCCACGATGGATGGGAGAAGGGAGAGGAATTGGTACCATCACTTCTGACACGACGCCCCTATGAGGATCTGCTCCATCGTCAGAATTCATGGTTCCTCGATCGATCTGTAAAATTAGGGAATTGGGGGGTGCGGCGACAGGAGAACGGCCGCAACAATTGTTTTGTTCCGAAGAGGTACGAGGATCGCGTCGACGTCACCGAGCAGCACGGCGCGGAGAATCTCCCCGACGCCGATCACCAATTTAAGTAAGGGACTGAACTGCTCCACAAACAATATGTTCTCTCACCATCTAGACCATCTCTCTACTGAGATCTGTTTTCTACGAATTCGTATGCACCGATACTCATGGACTCATCTTTTTTAGGATAAACTTATCGTTACAGACTACCGATGTGGTAGATGGAATGGATAAGGAAAAACACCAACATGAAGCGTAAGAGACACGAGCAAAAAGGAACAAGATATAAGCACCATGTAGCGATGGACCATGCTAACACGTCCTAATATGCATACCCCGCCCAGAAACCCAACCGAAACAATGAGAATAGAAACATAGAACGATACAGCATGCCAACGGAAAGCAAAGCAAACGTAGAAACCCTTCAGATCATACACCCCGGTAAAGACCCGTATTTTTGCGCTGCATTGTCATGAGCGGCATCGATAGAACACCATCAGAGTCGGTCATCGCGGCTGAATGCAAGGCATGGAAACATGATCAAATACTTCGTATTAATATAGTAGAAGAAGATAGAGGAGAGAGTATAGGTTGGTGATCACTCAAGCCATGGCCCGCGGGCTCTGTTGCTGGATGTGCTGCAGAAGAGCATCGAACAGACGGCCGATCTAGTGGGGAATGTCATGTCAGTGAAACGAACTAATAAACCGTTCAGACAAAAGGTCAGCTTACCTCAGGCGCAGCCTGAATGAACGGAAGACGGAAGAAGGTGTAGCTCCGGTTCTGAAGCAGCTCCTGCAGGGTAATGATGAGACCCCATGGGTGAGGGCGGTGGACAATAAGCCTCTCGAGAAGCACCCGGATGATTTGCTGACGAATGTCAGAATCGTCCTGCTCCGAGTAGTCGGTGCCGAACAGGCGGAGAATGGCGAAGCTAAAGAAGTAGGTATGGCTGTTGGGGTAGCGGAGCTGATTGGCCATGCCGCTCAGGAGATAGTACCGCGCCTCAGGCCGGAAGGCCTTTGCTAGCTTCTCGAGAAGCGCCGAGTGAGGGGAATTGTCAAAGGCCGCGCGAATGTTGCCCTTGGTCGCATTTGCAGACACGGCGCTCTGACCGATGTAAAGTACAAGCGCGTTCAAAAGGACCACGTTGACGTTTATCGGCGTATAGTAGGGGCCGGTTTCCTTGGTGGGAGGATTGTACACGGCATCGGAGATCTGCTGAATGACCGAGTCAGATGCATCGGTGCTCTGGAGTGCACTGTCGACAGCACTCTTGATGTTGGCCTGTTCCAGCGGACCTGCAGTATCACCGGCGATTCTGGGGGCTTCCCGCATTTCTTCCAGACGCTCAACCTTCAACCCCTCCCTGAACGGGTCCGGGAGTTTGTGGAAGGACGACGGATAAGCACTCAGGACCAGGTTCCGAAGCTGAGCGCAATGAGCAGGGATGACGTTACAGAACTGGAAGTGATTCTCTGCCACGAACTCAGGGAAATCGTGATGCAAGATCAGCAAGATGCGAAGAACACCCTTGTACAAGTCCTTAGCAACGTATGAGATGCTGGCCGGCTTGAGCTGCTCGCCAATGTAAGAGAGCAGCGCCTGCATGATTTCGCAGTACGGTCCCCAGCCTGCCCGCTCCGGCATGTTCAGCATACCGGACATAAAGAATCTGTGAGAGACCAACGAAAGCCACCCGTAAACGAATCCTGGGCAGTACTTGGGCTGAAGAGACAGAAACTTGTTAGCAAAGGCGAACATCATGTCCTGATGCTGATCGCTTTGCTGAAGCCCGTTCATGGAATATTCACAGAGAATGCTGGAGAATAGCCTAAAGAAGACACGCTGATTGAAGGCCTCGCCTCTCATGACATGGTGGTGGTTCAGGACAAGCACAAGCAGTGAGAGGGTAGAATTGAAGAAGGCTGCCTTGCTTGTCTTGGCAGCTCCTGTAGACTCGCCTTGGAACTTGACAAGTAAGACAACCAGCTTGCCAAGGGCATCGATGTAGAGGAAAGCCTCATCGAGACTTCCACTAGGGTTCTGCGACTCGTGATCGAACATTGCAACCGAGATGTCGATGCTAAGGCGGAAGAAGAGTGCCGAGTCTTCTTGGTTGTCCATGACCTGTCGCTGATGCAGATCCTTGAGGAACGAATAGTAGGTGCGATCAATGGCACCGGGAGCCTTGTAGATCCCAATCCACTCGCTGAAGATATACTCCATCTGGTCACGCTTGGACCTGGCCTTGTCACTGAGTAGGGGGTTGACGACTTCGGGAATGCCGGATTCACGCAGCTTGCGAATGATGTCGTTGGCCACAGTAACGTCCGAATCTTCCGCAAGCCATTGGCTCATGGCTTCAAGACTACCCGAGAAGTCAGATCTTAGAGCAGATGGTTCCTCGCTGAAGAGAACACGGTCCATGAGGTTGGAGAGGACATCCAGGGCAGCAGTGTTCTTTTGAAGAATAAGACGTGTCAAGATCATGTCAACTCGACGAATATCCAGTAGTCCGACATCAATGAGTGCAACCGTAACTGGCACGTTGAACATGTGCTCGTCGTCAACCTCAGAAAGTATGGCCCAGGTGTAGCGGGCCACAAGAGTGGACATATCGCACAGTTTCGCAAGCAAGTGTGCGAGGACTTCAATCTCTAATGTCCCGGGTGTCTGCGAATACAGAGTCGTACAGATTCTGAGGCCAGTGAGACGAGCGAGTTCTTCACCGTTGGGAGAGGCAAGGATAGTGCGGAGTGCTTGGTTGTACTCTTGGAGGACAGCACTCTCCCTGCCAAGGTCCCGAATGCGCTCTTCAGGAGCGTTCCGAGCTGCCTGCTGTAACTCGGAAACTATGCTCTCAACCTTCTCACGCGGGCTTTGTGCCTCAAGGAAGCCATTGAGCTGAGACTGTGCACCGACAAGACCAGTCTGCTGTAACCGAGCATCTTGCTGGGCTTGTGGTGTCCTATGGGGTACAGCTGGCTGTTCTGCAGGAGTAGAGAGATTGGGAATAGGCGAATATGGTTCCTGAAGAACATCTGGAAGCTGTCGACCAGAATCGGTGGAAACATTCTGAACGTGGGCCGCTGCCGGGCCACGGGCTTGACGGGCAAATTCCTCATAGATTGCCAGTTGCTCTTTGTTCAACCCTCCTGCAGCCTGTCGGTAAGGCTCGGGGATGAAAAGGCCCCAGCGATTCATTGATGGGTCAATGAAAGGCTCATTGGGCCGGGCCGCCCTGTGACGCCGACGCGCTTCCAACTGGGGTTCGATGACCTTCTCGATC